AGAGGTACACACTTGAGAATACTATTCAATAATATAAAGTGATTATTTCCACACTTCTTGGTCGGTTATGCAAAATTTTGTTTGAAATTTCACTTGCATTGGTCCTTATAATATGATCCTTCACTGGCAACAATTTCAGTTATCAAACATTTAGACGTTAAGTCGTTAAGTAAGTAATGGAGTTCTCTGGTTTCATGGGATAAATTTAAGGGAGGGGGGTTCGGAGCCTCCAAGACCCGCCCTGGATCCGCTGATCTGTATGTAAAATCTATCACACTTATCTTCAAGGGTGAAATTCTTAGGTTACTAAGCAACACCAGTGTCTTTTCTTGTTTTTGGTACCGTCATCTTCAGTTTTTTTAGCTGCACTATTGTTTCCCGTTTTGCTATCGGAAGCATTCGTGTCCTCCAACACTATAACCCCAGGATCAAGAACTTCGTGCCGAGGGCTTCTCTGTCTTTCAGCAATTAAGCTCTTCTCGATTCTTTCGCCGTCAGGTAATGTTCTCCGCAGAGAGTCAAGAAGCGTGCTTCCATCAAGAGAAGATTCCAGCTGATTTTCATTCTCAATCATTAAACCAATAAGAACAGAAAAGATTTCGTCAATGTTCTCTCGTTTTTTTGCACTGGCCTCAATGTAAAACAAGTTCTCTTTCAAGGCAAAGTTCTCCACCGTCCGCCCATCAACCCATCTGTCCAAGTCGTCATTCTTGTTTCCAACCAGTACCATAGGTATTCCCACATGGCAGGCTTTCTTCACGGTTTCCAGCCACGTGGAAACTTCCAAGAAAGACACTTGCGAGGTGAGATCAAAAACGATGACCACACCCCGGACCTTGCGGAAGATCTGCGGGGCAAAGTTGGCTGCCGGGCTGAACCTGTTCCCTCCAACATCGACCAAGTGAAGATGTACTGACTTGTCGCGAAATCGCAGACGCTCGAAGTGATCCTCAGATTCCAAGGTGCTTGGAAAAGGGTTGTCAGGAAACGAACTATGAGCATCAAGGAATCGAGCTACTATGGACGTCTTGCCAACGCCGGATTCGCCTAAAACCAGAACCTTAAACTTGTGGTCGTATTGGATATTTGACATAGCCCCAACTTTTTCCCCAGTGGCCTTTCTAGGAAGTTTTCCTTTTATTTCTTTGGTAAATTTCAGAAGGGTGTTAATGATGTCAGTAGCACTGGGTCTTTTCTCAGGGATGTTTTCAAAGCACTGGCATACGAGACTATGTAGTGGATGATCCGGTCCCATCTCCTCCAGGTCCTCGCTCCGGCGAATGTACTCTGGAACAATCTCTCCATCTACAAAAAAAGAAACGCATCACATTTTGGGAGGAACAGCATCTATTTGTGTCATTACAGGTGTGCGGTGGCGATCTGAATGTGGTGTAACCCCCGTGTGAACAGGTGAAAGATATGAGTTTGGACAAATGGCCTGGCTCAAGCTTTATTTGATCCAAAGTAGTGACAAATACACTGAAACAGGCAACCAATTCCCGGGAACAATTTTTTTGCCTATTTCAGTATTTCTTAAAAGTGCTCTTATAGTGATTACAATTAGGTAAATATGTTAAAATTGAATTCTGTCTCCAACACAACATAATAGTTTGTTTTTCCTGCATAAACTATTTTTTACACACTACTTTAAGTGATATCTCTATGGGTGATAATATTAGCTCCCTAAGCTAGCCCAAAACCACCTTCCCTTCACTCTGATGTGCCCAGATTGACAGAGGTTACTCAATACGTCCTGGATGATGGAGATGGAGTCTAATCGAATCAAATCAGACCAAGTAAAATCACTGGTTCATTGCACCTTTTGATCGGAAAACGTTCAGTTCGCCCAATGTTAGGGAATCCAAGACCATCTTGGATTCTGGATTCCACTCCATGGATTCCGGATCCCTGCCCTGTGTACCAGAGGTTTTTCTTGCGTGCGGCGGAAATTTTTGGTGTTGGCCGAAGCCTGACACATCTTCGGCCGTAGGCCGAAGCCGCGAGAAAAAACTCGGGTCACTATAAAGACTTGACAGAAACCGGAAACCGCGCCAGAAAAGTCTCTGGAAACCAGGGTACCGGATCCCTGGTACTGGATTCCAGTCTTTGTCAGTGGGACTAGGATTCTAGATTCCGTTAGCTAGTGGGATTCCGGATTCCCTGAGCTGTATTCCCGAGTCCAAAGCCCGGGATGACAGATTCCACAAGGAAAAATTTCAAGGATTCCAGAATCCGGATTCCCTTATTTGGGTTAGACTCTTTTGTGTATGAGTGAATATTATGGATTTCCTGGATGAACCTTCTCTACCGATTTCTTAGAATCTTACTTAAGTGATGCAGCTCGACGGTCGGAAAACGCTGCCATGACAAGTGCTGCGTCATGCACGAGACACCAGGCTAAATAAGTCAAATAATAGAAAAAGCCCATTTTTTAGGAAAGATAGCAAGATACTAAGAGAAGTCAGCAAAGGCAAACAGAGGCGATCTAAAATTATAAAAGTTTTCAGCAACTGAGGTGTCTGGATTAAGCATCCATGAAAAGGTCCCTGATCACTGAGCCAGAAGCCAGCAGTTTTACTTTTCAAGGTGGTGAATTACGTGACCTTTTTTTGTGTGACATTTTTTTCTCGTAACACTTTTCACTTTCCACTAAGAAACGGCTGGGAAGACCAGCCAGACTTGCCAATTCGACCTCTTTTAGTCACTAGTACTGGATTTTTTAAGTAATCCTAAAGTATGGGAAGCGAGCTTTATTACGTCAAGTGAGGTAAAACAACCGCACGACTACGAACTGAAGGACTTTGTAACTGAGTAGAGCGACCAGGGGCCGGTTGCTCGAAGCCTGGTTAGCGCTAACCGTTGGTTAAGAGGTATCAAAATGTATAGGTTTCCATGGTATTTAACGCTGGTTAGCACTAACCATGCTTCGAACAACCCGGGCCAGGGCGTTAAGCATATCAAATGCGTAACAAAACAAAAGCAGTCAAACCTATATTTCGCCTATAATTACGTTACTTGTAATCGATCACTACGATAATTGAAATCTAAATTAAATGCATGTCTGATGGCAAATCTATTAACAAAATACTGACCTTCAAGAACCGGATCGGGTAGAATGCGTTCAGGTAGATGACCAATAATCGTCTCCAACATAAGAGCGCCGAAGGAGAATATGTCGATTTTCTCCGTGTAGATTGCTTTATTTCCTTTTTGTGTTCTTCCCATTTTCTTGGGATAAGTTTCTGGGGCGGCATAGACCGGGGTACCCGGCATGGCTGTTGCATACATAGCACCGTGCGGGAAAACCTTTGCCAAACCCAAATCAGCGATCTTTGCGTGTAGCGATTTTGTTAGCAAAACATTCTTGCTTGCCAAATCGCGATGGACGATCGGAGGCTTTTGTGAATGAAGATATTGCAGAGCTTCGGCAACGTCCAACATAATTTTCACCACTTCCGAGAAAGACACTTTGGGTTTGCTTTGCGAATCCCGAATGTGTTTGGCCAAGTCGCATGCTAACAGCTCGGTGACGATGATCGGTGTCTCTGGGGTAGGAGGTAGGATCACTGTGTAATACTCTACAATATTAGGATGTTTAAGATTGCTGAGAAGCTCCCATTCTGATTTAAACTTCTCCAAGAACGCTGCTCTGATGCTTCCGTCGTAATCGCCATCGAAGAATACCGCGCGAATTCGTTTGGCGGCGACTTGCTTTCCGCTCCACACGGCTTTAAAAACCTCTCCATATGCCCCATCACCGATTTTATCCCCAAGCTTTATGTCTTGGACAGAAGAAGCATTTCCCATACCTGCTTGATTCTTTAAGCGACGAATCCAACCTAGAAGTGCTGCATGCTAACCAACAGATTCCTCCCGGAAGTGTTATTGGCTCTGGGAGGGGCTAGGGAAGAAAAAAATACACAGCAACAGGGCTCCTGTCAGCAATAGTCCAGTTTCGAATTAAAAATCACCGCTGAATACAAATATTAACGACACATTCATACGGGGTTAGCCTCGACGTAAAGTAAAATATTCAGAAATTCTGGCAAGTAAGTGTTTGAAATTTGAATATACACAATAGACAGAGCGAGTAATAAACAGGTCATTTTCTCGTTGGAATTTGTGAATATATTACTTCAGATTGAGGCTAAGGCTGTAAAAAATGCGTCTTCACTTCTTTAATACAGCGGTGATAGAGAACTCAGGTAACCTTGGCTACTGCGGTTGCAATAATTTTACCACAAGACCATACATTTTTTTCAATTACCTTGCGTAAGCGGCACCTCTCGTGAGAAGACGCGGGCACTCTTTTCAGTAAGAGATAGTAAAACGAATTAAAGCTAAAACTGCGAAGAAAAGTCCTTGTATTCCATATTTTAAAAATAGAAAAGCAAGCAAGTAAATGACCCAAATAAATGAGTAGGGACAGGGTGTAGTTCTTTATTTTTTTCTTTCTCATACTACTTCCTTGTGGTGCTTGAAGATTATCTAAACTCCCCTATGCATATTCAGAGGGTATCCACATGAGGAAGGTTGTGGAAAAGATGTATTTTCATATAATGTAGCAATCAGCATTCTAGTGGATGCAAAAATGACGTCAATGACGCACTCAAATCCACTTCGCCCCCCAAACGCGCCCGGGCATGCATGAGTTAGTCGCGTGACTTTGTTAACAGCCTGGACACTAGCTAGACTTCCGTGTTTTCAGCTTTCGATTTCCTTCACGATTCAAACATAGCTGGGAAGAAAGGATTTCGTTTTATTAGAAAATGTAACTACTCACTTACGACTACGCGGATCGAATACACGCACAATGAGGAAAAGGTCAGAAAGCCAAAGGTATGGTATCATTTTTGACAGACAACGTCTAAGTCTTTTACATTCACTTTAAAAAATCTGGTGCAATCCGTGTCACATTCACGCATAAAAGCACGAAATGCAAACAGGTGAATAAACGCGTGTCTTTATCACTTGTTTACGATAGATTTTTCGTTAAAAAATTCGATAATGAGGAGTTTTCTAAAACATTTATTGAGTCTAACGGCAGAGTCTGCACAAATTTCTCTCAATTCTATGAATTACTTATAGCAACACCACTAAATGAAAAACACGGCCAAAACACATTCAGAAGTGCGGAACTCAACCGTGTAGCTTTTGTTTATTTTAAAACCGAAATGGAAAAGGTTCTGTATATTGAAGCAAGACGTCGACAGGGGTGTGAGTTAAAGCACGCGAACAACGAAATCCATTACACGAAGGAAAACCGCGTTTTTATCACGCGACTGTAATTGCCACATTTTTCGGTGACGTGTCATTCTTGTGTGGTATTTTGTCTCATAAAATGTCTCATAATTTGCCTTTTTAACCCAGATAATTTGTCACAAGCGCAAGTCGTAGAGATATAAGAATCCAATCGGGTCTAATTTTTTGGTGTTTAACAATGAATGGTTTCTCGTCGGTGTGTTATAACCGGTTTCTAGGTTGTCAAATTCAATAAATCTCACTTAAAAGAAAAAGTTTGTCAGGTTTACTCAATAACTAACTAGAGTAATTTGCAGAGAAAAGAGAAAAGACTTTTCCTCAGCCCAGCATCTTGTTGGTTTTTCTGGCAAAGTGCTGCGTAGAAAGTTAAAGCCCTTGAGAAGATCACGTTCGGACAAGCTTCGAGAAGCAGCCCTGGAGCAAGACTACCTGGACAAGGTAAGGTGAAGATATTGAACGGATGTTTGGTCAAACCCTCTCCTTTAGAGGTTTAATTTGTGGACTAGTGCTACTGCTTAAATCTACAATGACTGCCGTTGGAGACAGAGGTTGCTGCAGCAGGGCTTCTTAATTAATCCTCCTTCAGGGTACTAAGCCGAAAATTGTCAGGGTTTAATTTTTTACTCGACTGATTTGATTTCAGTATCAGTACCTCTTTTAATATGTAAAAAAGGAAATTGAAAGATTCAGGTATCTGTGTTTTACAATCTTTTTCTAGCACCCCCATTTCAAACGACTCAACGTTATATAGACTTTCAGTGTATTAAAACTATCTGTTTTGCTCTACCTGGCTAGATTAGCCCTGCTATTTGCCGGTAGAGCAGTTTTGTAACTTTTCTTTTAAAAATACTGAAATAAATTTGAAACTTGAACTAAAACTTGAACATGCTCAGTAACATTTTTTTCTAGGATTTTCAGTAAAATAGGCTCTTGGTGTTTATAATGTTATAGCATACAAGAAGGGTAATCCAAAGGCAAATACAACCCTATTTTTGGAAACAGGATAGAGCTTTATTATTCTCTTGTCATCAGTCGACAATGGTTCCAGCAGGCTTGCTTAGGTATAAAAGTTTGAAATTATACTTGACTTGTTCCGGATCTTGACTTGTTCAGGATGAAAATGTGGACCCCCAGGCAGTGATCCTCCAGATTCAAAGTGGTTCGAATGACTGGAGCTTATTCTGGTTTAAAATTTGAAAGTCTGAGATTTTTCATTTGGTAACTACACACACACAGACACAAACAAACTAGGGTGGAGCAGTAAGATAATGTTAGGAAGTATATTTGTTTGGTGTATTGTGTTAAGTTGGGATATGTTTGGGTAGTGATTACTCTGGATGGCAAGTTTTATGGTAGAATTAAGAGCACATGCAAATTCGTATGTGTAATCAAATGGTGACGAGTGAAATTAGGGAATAATTTCACGCGCGTTTTGTCCAAATCCTTATAATTTCCCGAGCCTTTAGCCGAGGGAAATTATTAGGATTTGGACAAAACGCAAGTGAAATTATTCCCTAATTTCACAAGTATACCATTTGATTACCTATTAATATCATGGGTGACGAATTACTTTAGCAATCGAGGATTTTTGACTTGTTTATCCTGGATCGATCGATCGTGAACTCCACTCTCCCAAACGTTTAGAGTTGAAATTTGGCTTAAGTTTTCAGAATTTTTCAACAACATACCTCTAAGAATCCTTCTTGATGTGCTCTTTCATGTGTTCAGGTTTTCTAAAGCATCTTTTTATGCCCTGACATCTTCATTCATGACATTTTAACCCATTCGCCCCTGAACCGCCCGTAACTGCCCGTGCGGATCCACGTCCTTTCTACCCTTTGTGACGTCATCAGTTTTAACGGTCAAGGACAACTTTGTCCGCTAACTTGTGCAGAGTGAAGAGATCTTTCAAACCATACCAGAATGAGCACAATTCAGTCAAGGACACCAGAGAAAGAGGCAAAAAACCATGTAACATTGACCTGAAAATCTCCACGAAAATCTTGTTCCATTGCCCACCTACCTTTCCTTTCACCTAATCCTTAGATCCTAAAAGCTTTCCTAAAAACTATTCCCACCAAAATGAAGCCTACTAAATGCCCAGCAAGAGAAAAAAAAAAAGGGGCAAGAAAGGGAAAAAAGAGGGGAGGAGAGAAAGCGAAAAGTAAAAGTCAAGACTGCTGTGTCACTTTTAAACCCAAAAACTATGTCGAAATTTTGCTTTCTGCGCATCCCCCAACTTCGCAAGCTGATATTTTGCATCTGGATCAGAAGGCCATGAAGTGTACGACCTGTAAACCGGTTTGTGGTAAGTTTAAGCTCTTTATAGCACGACAGTGACCAGAAAACCACTCGACTAGCTTCAAAACGCGTTTTTCGGCAAAATCTCCAGGAGCTAATGGGTTAAAACTTCGTCGCCATCTTGAAACGGAGATGTACGGCAGGTTGCCATGGCAATTTAGTAATTTCACATGTGAAATTACAAATTAACGCTGAAATTTCATGCCAAAATTAAGGAGTAATTCGTCACCTATGATATTAAATATGTAATTGGCACTTTTGTACTGCTGAAAATTTAAAAGGTGGATAAACAGAAATTTTGAGGCTCATGCTTGTTTGCATAAGGCAGTTTTGAGGCTTTTAATTTTTGTACCTTGCACAACTCTCAGCCTGAGCTAGTACAAATGTTCCAGAGCATAATTTTTTGAGACCACCCTATTTATGAAACACTATTTGCAGTGTTGAAGAAAATAATACATTTCTTAAAGCTCCCTTTTCTCTAAGACTGTTGGCTGATGACATGTTGGAGACTTGCAAAGGCCTCATGATCTGTGTCACAAAAACTCAGAGATCAAAAACTCTGACCTCACACCCTGGAAACCACTCTGATTCCCAGGTATCTTGAGTACAAAACTCATACCCCTTTGGGTGACTTAATTGAAATTTCGTACCCATTAAAACTTGAGTACTCTGATGGCATTGTATTACAGCCTCTAGCAAAATGCTTTAAATCTCACCATTATCATGCATGCAGGTGAATTGTTGTGAAGTATCCTGGCTCGTCTCCCTAATGAACTCCTTTTGATCTGCTGAGCTGGTTGTAATAAGTCCTCTCTGGGGATCTGAGTTTTGAGGTCTGAGTCTTTTTGACCCCACAAAGGCCTCTTATCTCAAAGCGGAAAAATAGATAAGTCGTATTATCAATTACAATTCAATCAATCAATGTATACATTATACTGTTAGAACATTTTTTCAGAACCTAGCTACTTATTTCTGAGCAAACTCACATAAAATGACACAGTTCACATGTACATCAGGACTAGGAATGGGAATGCAGTGTAAATCATACCTACTGGGAATTGTACATTCAGGACCGAGTGCAGGCATTGCCTTGTACTTGTCAACATCAGATTGAACATGCATTCTCCTGACTGAAAAACAACACGCACGAATTAATATAAGCCAAAATAAGGTTGTATTTTAACATTCATTAAATCATGTCTCCAAAATTTTGCTATTTTCTTGCTGCTACATCTTTTGTAACATTTTTTTAATTATATACATTCAATGTTACTTTTCACCATCAAGTGCAACAACCTCTCTCGCTGTCTAAAAAACCATGGAAATCTGTTGGATGTAATCTCACAGTTGAGGTGTTGTGATGGACAGAATTTTTGTGATTCATCTTTATGTCAGGTATGTTATCAATGTTTTACTAATAATGTCATTTGCAAAGCATAAAAAAATCCCCACTTTGTATTAGGGAGGAGTAGGGGAGGGCTTGTAATAGAATGGGGCCGCTTGTTGAATTCTCAAAACACAGTATAGTAAGAATTGACCATGCATATTATTTATAGCAGTAGAGTGCAATTTGCAGGTTTGCCAATTAAAATCTTTCCATTACAAAAATAACCCTTTTTAATATTTTTTAGGAGCTTCAAGAGAGGTATGACAACAACATATCACTCATTAAATTTCTTCTTGGAAATGTTGGAACTACCATAGATGTGCTTCCAAACCAAATTCAAGGTGAATTTAATGTATGTTTTTGTTCTAAAACCCATGTCACACCCGTCCTTCTATTTAATAAACAAAATAACTGTGATTCAGTACTTGTAAACTGTATTAATTAAAAATATTAATATATCAATTAAAATGATAAATTTTATAATTCAGAGTGTAGATTTTTGCAAATAACATCATAGCCTACAAATACAGCCTTCTCTCATCGCTCCCCATCAAGGGGACATTTCTCAAGAAAGACTCTGCATTTTGCCCCCAAAATTTTGTATATTTGTAGGAGAAGGAAGCCTGGCCTATTTGGTGAGTGACATTTGATAAAATTGCTAGTTAGATCTCATGAAACAGCCATCAGGCAACCCCCAAAAGAAACAGTTACAATTGAAGATCATAAGCTGTAGACTGAAGATACACAACAATAACAATATATTATTAATGGTAATACATGCTTAACTAGGCATCCCACTAAAGGGATCTTATCATTAATTATTGACAGTGTTATCTATCTATATGAATACTTCTCAATTTTTATATTTTCAGTTTCCTTAAGTGGAATTTTACATAAAGATAAAAAGCTGAGGAACAAGCTGGAGAAAGAAGGTTTTTGGATTGGTGAACTGAAAGGGAAAATGAAGGCATGTATCATGGAACTCTATTTTATTTTTTCAAATTTTAAATTTTCAATGATTGAAAGTAACTAAATTAAGTTCATGAACTAAAATAAAATTTGTGATCAGGACATAACCGGCCATTAAATGAGCAAGTTTCATTGACTGGCCTAAACTGGCTTGTGCAAGATGAAAAACCAAACAGGTTTTTTACCTCATCAAGGCAAAACTATAGAAAACTTTGTTAGAAGAAAATTTGCATGTTTAACTGAGGCTTCAAAAATAGATATTTATATTGATAACATAGATATGTAAGAGTAGTAATTGTTATATTCAGTTAGTGCAAAGTTGAGCACATTAAAAAAAATATGCTGAAAATTTTTTCAGATTATATATTACTGGTTACTAAATGACTGCTGTTGATGCCCTGGTACCATAAACCCTTTCTCTTTACCATAATAAATGCCCCATGCCAAATGGCATGGGTTCTTTCTTATATATTTTTAAATCTGATTCAAAGATTTAACTGGTACTGTGGAATATCTATCATCCTAGGTTAAACCATATCTTTGGCAAATTACTTTGTGACTTTCTCTTGTTTCAAAGGGGAAGGTGTCCAACTTTAGACCCAGTTCTGATGCACTTCTCCCACGAAAGAAGACCCCATTAGTGTAAGTAAAAAATTAATCCTTATGATCATGAATTTGCAATTATGTACTCAGTTAAAGCTCAGACCATTTAAATAGGCAAAATAGAGAGCAAATATCTTTACAATTTCTTCATTTTATGCTACTAACAGTTTTTCTGTAGTTAATTCACTTCCATTAAACTGACGCTTTGCTAATTTAAAGAGATCGATACCATTCCTGACCTGTGCTATACGTGCATGCCTGTAATGGTCATAAATTAATAATTTAAAGGTTCTAATTCTAGCCAATTTTGCTAGTGCATGCAGAGCCTAACCAGGTGCCTGGTTTACATCTGCACAACAGAATGGGGGCACACAAAACAGCTTAAAAAGCTGGTATTATTGGGGTTATGGCAGTGAATGTAATTGTTTAGACTGGTACTTCTTTCCTTTTGGTACAATGAGAGACAGTATACCTACTTCAAGAAGACTCAGAGGAAAACCCTTATGTATGAATTTTAAATTCTTGTTGGATGTCTTGTCATGGATGCTGACACCAGTTTCCTGTTTTGTTGATTTAATTTTTTGCTGGTAACATTTGTGTTGAAAATGGTGAACCTGTAGATTATTATTTTATAATAAGCAGTCACAGCCTGCTGATACCCCAAAGGACCTGATAGCTTAACTATGAGTTTGACAGTCATTATGACAAAGACTTAACAGAAATTTCCAGGATGCTTTAATTTCCTTCTCTGTAATAGTGACTTAATCTCCAACATATGCCACTGACATGTACAAGTGCCGTTACAAATAATGTGCCACCAGTAAAACAGTGAGCCACTGGCAAAGGCCATAGCATCCTTAGTTTTTAGCCTGCTAGCAGGCACTGGTCATGGTTTTTGAAAGGCTTATGTGAGGGGAACACGTGAACGGGAGAGGAGGCGCCTGCAGCAAAGGCACTTAGTTTTCAGTTTTCTACATCCTCTGGTGTGTAGAATGCCACTAGCTAATAAAAAACCCCGTGGGAGTTTATAAACTGTCACCTCATGCATTATTCGTCTGTCAATGAAATTCAAGTCTTCCTGTATATTAAACATGTGTGGCATGAAAACGGCTGAAGAACTGTTGAATCATGCTCGTAAGAGCTTATTTAGAGAGCTTAACTCAAAGAGATTTTCGATTTCAGTTTTTGGTTATTACCAACTGGGTTCGGAGAAAGTGTAATTTTCCAGTTATTTGTTTTGGGATGTAAAGACCAAAACCGTCTTTGCAAGTATTGTCATTATTTCCCCTTTGCAAATGTAATTCAGGATCAAGCAGCCAATGCAACCTCTACGGGAATGTCAGCATGTGACTTGAATTAAAAGCAGGGCTGTTGAAAAGAACTACAGCAAGGAAAGTATAACATTATCTACATACAGGTCAGCTGAAGCAGTGATGGACAAAAAGATTTTCGAATATTATTAATGTCCCTATCCCATCATTGATCAACACAATGATATCAGTGTCTTTTGTTGACAAAAGCTTTTGGACAAGACTTAGGTAATCCTGTTCATCATGTTTGTTCTGAATTTAGAATTACAGTGCTTTAAAAAAAATGCAGATCTATATAGTAAAAGTACACAAGGTTATTTTTCCCTTAGGGTCTGATGTTGGTTTCATGTCGTTAGATGATCATCTGCTTTCAGTTAATTCAGTGTTGTCAATTGATACAGTGCTGTCTTGTTATTAAATTGGGGGGGGGGGGGGGGGAAAGGGAAAACAGGGGTTTTTCAGGCGGGGGCCCCCCTCCCTTTTTCCCCCCCCCGCCCCCTTCGGTGTTTTCCTTCTTCCCACAAAAAACCGCGCACCCCCTCTAGGAGAGGCTGTTGCTTTACAAGAAAGGGGGGGGGGGGGGGGGGTAAATGGAAAACCAGGGTCTCTGCAGCAGGTGCCTCCTCTCCTTGTCTCCCCTCGCGCGTCCTTGAGATTTCTTCTTTTACCCTAAAAAAACAGCCAGCACCTTCTAGGCAGGCTGTTAGTTTTAAACATGGCATGCCTTCAGAGTTGACTTGGGTTCAATTTAGCAAACATGACAAGTCAAAGTCAAGTCAACACATTTATTTTACTATGCTAACCACGCACAACAAAAGCTGGTTTTTGAGAGTTAATATGCTCTGGTTGGCTCATTAAAAGTAATCAAGGGCGAGCTTCTTATCTTGATTAAACCTCTGTTGGTAGGGAGGGGGGCGGGTGAGGCACTCCCATAAATTTTGGATAGATGTCTGCTGCCCTGGGTCTTAAACACTGCCAAAACCTGTGAAACGGCACCCTATTCAATGGAAAAAAACTAAGAATTTATTCAGTTTCAACAGATTATAATTTGTTCCTTGTGTAGCTGTGGGGCATTTATGCACTTGAATTTTAGCTAATGTGATTTAGGTATTCTATCTTAAAATCAAACTGTGAACAAAAAAAACCAACAAGGACAAAAAAGATATTCTTTGTAAGGATCAAGACCCTTACCCTAATGGATGGCAAACAGCTATCTAGACCATATATGGGATTACCACAACTCTGGGTTAACCTTAGCCTTAACAATCTTTCAAGGGAACCGAACACAGAAACTGAATGATGTCTTCACTGCACAACAACACAAAGCTAATTGAGCAATTGCATTTTTTTATCCGTACCCCTTCCCCCGGTTGAGGACCTACCTTTAATTCTTACCCCTGAAGATTAAATAAAATTGAATTCACATAAAATACGGGTTTGTCCCTCAAAAACATGGGTCCTACCCTTGAAGAATTTCGCGAAAAGTGGAGCTCCAGCCCCAAAGAATTCCATACTTCTGGACTCTACCCCTGAAGAAATCCTCAATTTTTATAACTTACCCCTGAAGAATTCCATGGTTCCTCAGCCATGGCCAGGGGGGTGGGGGGGTGGGGGGGGGGGTACAGGTATTAAATGAGGTCGAAAGAAGAACAGCTGATTCGTATTTCATTTCAAACGGCTAACTTACTAAGCTTTAACGATTTCCACAGAGGATCCTTAGCTTAACTAGCTTAAACAGCTTATGCTGGCAAATCTCCATAACTAAATAACTTAAAGCGTAAGGTTAAGCAGTTTATAGAATAAGTAATTACCGGTATGAGCGGAAATGTTGGTATTACCTTCTCCTTTTTAGTTTCATGACCAGCCAGCCCTCCTTGCTCTTAATCGTGATTTAAGGAGCTACTATTTTTATAACAAGCGGCTCGTAGAATATAGGTGAATGACCATTTATCAAAAAAATCAAGTTATCTAAAGAAAAAAACAAGCCTTTCTGCACGAATGAGCAAATTTGTGGAGGCTTCCGTCGAGGTCGACGGGGTCGCACGTTGCACGTTAAGGGGCTCTCACTGGCTCGTCTCCAGGCGTACTCGACCAGAACCGACCAGTTCCAGTCTTTTTTTAAGTTCCAGTCTTCCTTCAGTCTTATGACTGATCGTTCGATAGAACTTTATCAGTGCCTGTTCGCAGACGTTTTCCTTTCTTCTCTCTTCTCCCTCGAGCGAAAAGAAAACCTCTGGTGCCAGGCTCTATCATCTGTGGGGACGAAAACCATTCTGGGTCACTCCCGGGACGGAAACTCCCGTATCATAGATATGGGGATGCTCCATAAAAAATCAATCTGGGCGTGGCTTGGGCTTCATTTAATTTGAGCCCTAAAGGATATCTCTCCCCACATAGCGTAACGAAATTCCTGACTCTCTTCATTCTTTTACAATATAGATATTTCTTTACGCATAGAGCTCAGGCGCCTGACGCAAAAACGATTAAGTGATACGTTTATGTAAAAATAATTTCCTTTCGGCTGTCCTCAGCACCACCCAATGAGGCCAAAAACAGCAATTTCTACCCCTAAGTGAGAAGATGAGCATCACTATCATTTTTATATGGGAATATGGGAGCAACCCCCCCCGGGGGGGGGGGGCAAAGTAGCGTTATACAGCAAGGCTGTATGTTATCACCCACCCTTTTTAATCTCTATCTAAGTGATCTACTCGAATGTTTTAAGTCCTTAAATAACTACTCGTTTAAGTATGGAGTAAATAAACTAAACAATGTTAAATCTTATAAATATTTGGGAATGACACTGAACCCGTATGGAAATTTTAGTTTAGCTAGAGAAGAGTTAAAAAGGTTGGGCTTAAGGCAGTTTATAAACTATGAAAAGAGATGGGTGACAACTTTAGAGAAAATATTATGCTGACGATTAAGCTATTCGATGCTCTGATCTCCCCCATACTTCTCTACGGAAGTGAAATTTGAGGTGTTGACTGTAATGACCAAATAGAAAAAGATCCCGCAGAACTAGTTCAAATTAAATTCTTGAAATGGCTGCTAGGTGTAAATAGATGCTGCAGCCACCATGCATGTAGGGCTGAAACAGGAAGATTCCCAATAAAAATCGAAGCACAATATAGGAATTTTAAGTTTTGGCTAACTCTAACCAAAGCAAAACACAAATTATCACAGGTGTTTTATAATGATATAAAGTCGAGGATGAATAAGGAATTATGGAGCCAAAAAACCAAACGCGTATTAGACCAAGTAGGGCTGGGATACTTCTGGACAAAAGCCCATGAAAATGACGTAGGAATCTTGAACATTATCAAACAAAGACTGAAAGACATCGAATTACAAAGATGGTTAAGTGACGTAAACAATGACGTAAGAAAAGACGCCAACCAAAAGAACAAACTAAGAACCTTCCGAAAATTTAAACAATAGAAAATTATAAATGTGAAGATTATCTCCGTCAGGTCACCAACATCCGACACCGGACAACTCTAACTAAACTCGGTCTAAGTAATCACAAATTGGCGATAGAGACGGGTCGGTATATAAGACCTTATAAGAAACCTGAAGAGAGGATCTGTCCTATCTGTAAAAAAGACGTTATTTGAATACTTAAACAAAGAATACAGAATAGCAGTAAACAGAATGGCACCAGATGATGTTTTTCTGTTGTTAATAAACCCTCCGAGCAAGAACAAACCAGTGCAAAAGTTAATTGCGAAATACGTATTCGACTGCTATGAGAAAAGAAGATTATTAGTTATTTAGGTTAACATTGATTATAGTTTCACTAGTGCAATGTGTGTTATGATTTTAAATTATTTGGATAAAACGTCGATGTACATAGGACTGTATAAGACTCCAAATAAAGCATTGTCATTGTCATTGTTTACGGACCTCGTTGAAGTGAAAAAACACCTTTTCTTCTACGTTTCATGTTTGTTGTTCTTTTTCTGCCTTCCTTCAAAAGGGAAGAGTTCTTTCAGATGTTCGTACATGGCGTTAAGGAAGACAGGCCACTTGTTTTGACACTATGGCAGGATGAAACAGGCCGTGCCTTAAAAGAAGCAGTTCTCAAGCAATGTCCAAGTTTACCTTCCTACTTTATTCTACTGTTTCGAGGTCGAAAGGTACGCAGCACAGTGATCCGGGTAAGAGCCTGTGAACAGGCTCCTGGGGGAGTCTGGCGAGCTCACTTGTTCCTCATACTATACCCAACACGAGAGCTACTTTACTAGCTAATGGAGTAGACGTTGCAAGTAATGGAAGACAGTTTTCTTGTCTTAAGGAAATTTTGGCATTTTTTTTCCAATGCTGGCTAGTTGTGATAGGTTACTTGTTTAAGAGTTTTGCGGCTTTATACCTCTCTATTTAAACCGGCTTGTCTTGTGTATTTACAGATTTCGGACGAACATACACTCAGGGAACAAGGGTTGACACAAGATTGCAACATCCATGTCCATTTTAGTTTGTACGGAGGTATTAAAGCCTGATGATTTCGCTCAGTTCTAATATTTTATCTTTGGGTTTGGAGTCGCTGCTAGGGGCGTAGCTGCCTGTACGTACGATACGCACTTGCGTACCTGAAAAAGCTGAAGTTAAAAATATAAAAATAATTTTTAATGAAATAAAAGATAAAGATAATGGTAAAAAGCAAGTAAATAAATAGAAGAGACTTATTTTAAAAAGCACAGTCTGGTTCAATTCATCAATCTTTGCTTGTGTCTTTGAATTGTTCTTTTTCTAATACAACGGAACATTTTCTTTGCCACACCCAAATGTCGGTTTCCAAATTAAAACGAAGGGGCGTGATGAATTGGTGCACCGAATCTTGAATGATTTATTTAGGGAAAAGGCGGCCTGTCTTCTTCGAAGTGGACGAAAACACGATCACGTCAAAGTACGGTGCCTTTATGCGGCCAAACACAATTCTGTGAGGGTCCACGATGCACTTGGCCGGATACGTGACTGGGGATTTGGTTATATTTTGTGGTGGTACATACTCGACATGTAAGCTAAAACAGGAGCTCGAAACAGGAAATTTAATAGCAAGCTCCAGCGAGATTCCCCAATTTTATGGGGCTGGGATGTAGAATCGTAAGGACTGAAAAGTAGGGGATACGGAAATTCAGTTTTCAGGTCGTAGACCGCATTTAATAAAGGAATTCAAAGATGGGCCGGCCTGAATAAAACCTCCTAATCAGTGGATTTGTGTTTGCGTTGCATTATTAAAGCCTTCAAATTAATATATTTTTGCACTTACAATCAAGTATGTTAAAAATTTGCCTCTTTTGTAAGATATGATCAGGGGCTTCTTTTAAATTGTTTTCAGAAGAGTCTGATTTTCTCGCTGATATTCTTCAGTTTCCCAGCTGGGTGGTACGTAGTAATGAAAGCCAGTTGTCTCTTTTTTGTTTTGTTTTCTGTTTTTGAGGACCAAACGATTATTCTGAGTCAAACAAAAATGATCTTTCAAATTATATGTCTCAGGATACCTGCGTGTTCCTAATCGTCGTTTGAAGTTTGCAAGTTCCTCTTCAAATGTTGTACCCAGGAGGGTTAGAACTTATTAACGTCATTTCATAAACAATAAAAGACACGAAGGCTTAAAGGTAGTTTCATATCCCGTCATGTGCGTACCTCTGGAAAAATTCTGGCTACGCTCCTGGCTGCTAGTTTACATCTGCAAGCCAGTGTGTGTACCGTGTTTTATTTTATCTTCTTTTGCCCTCTTAGGAATGGAGAAAGAAAGGGATCCCACAGATAAAAGTGGGGGAGAAAGAAACAAAAAAGGTAACCGTATTTTAAAGCTGTCGAAAAGTTTCCCAAAAGGATTAAAAAAATTTCTTGCATATTGCAGCTATCATTATATAAATTGCCTAAGCCATAGACACTGATTTTCTTACTAACACTGAATGCTTTGTGGCATTGAGTTTTTGCGGGTTTATAATTTTACGGATTATTGCGCGTACGCACGATTTTGAGTTTCGCAAAAGGAAACTGTTTGCCAATACGAAAGACAAACTCCTCCCAACATCTGAGGTATGATCACCTTAACTTACTAAGAACGAAGGCTGGGTATTTTCTTTAATTCGCGGTGTCTCTTTTTTTTTGGCGGGAGTATATTTTTACGCCATCCGATTTTCCCCACCAAATTCGGGAATGTTAAACTGATCGCAAAAATTTCATTCCACGGGTGAACGGACGAATTAGTTCAGACCGCCTGACTAGCTACACGAGACTGTTTTGGTCCCGAATTATATAAGTCTTGCAAATTGTGCACACGCACTTTAAATCTCCAGGTTCATTGTCAGATTTTAGTGAGATTGAAGAGCGCTTCTAACTAGAGAAACAAAAAAAAAACTGACAATAATAATCAGTTCTTCGTATCTGGCCTCTAGTCCGCGGTCTAATTTTCGCTGATAGTCTGCCTAATAACATGCTAACTGACAACCGTTCATGATCACCTGTCCGGTAAAGAAGCCACTGATGTGAGAAATGGAGCAGTTGAAAGAGCCAGTGAAAATTAAGTAGCAAGTGCTACTGGCCAGTGAGTCCTAGCCCATGGTAACCAATCACAATGAAGGAAACAATATTGAGTCAGCAGCTTGTCCGGCTTCGGCTTGAAAACAAAAATAAATGTAATCAATTCAACTCCAAAGACTTCATATATTCATTGCTTCATCTTCATCTTTCCCCAGTATATTACGAACCAATTGAATGAACATCCCCAGCTCCCAGTTGGCTTGGTAGCTCAATAGATCTTATTCACGATATCCGCCATCTTTTCACGCGCTTAAGGAATTATAGGATAGAAAGCCGGGCAATGTCACGTCATTTCAAGAGGCAAACAAGTGAAAGAATTTGCCAATACTAGTAATCGCGGTCGAGTTTGTTTATTCTATCGAAACGAGACGATGATTACTAGTCTTGCAATTTGTACAGTTCGAGTTTCAACAAGTTTTACATCATTATTGCCTGCAGTGAGGACATCTACGGCCGCTATTGCATCCGGGAAAACAATGATCACTTCCACTCACAATTTGCCATTATCGTCTTTAAAGGTAGAAAGTTCTTCGCGTTTCGGCTGTCTAGAATAAAAGAAACTTGACCACGATTTTTGGTTCAGTATTTTAAAATTGCTGTGATATTGTGCTTTAGAATTGTCCTTTTTCTCTCTCTTTTCAGTGGACTGTTGTTAGTTGTTAGCTTACCTAAAATGACCTCTTTAGATATCTTTTTTGGTATGTCTACCTGCACTTGGTTCTCTTGACCGGTAGGAGAAAATCTTACCCAGCACTGACTGGTTGAAAATTTTAATGATTTTTCACACTTTTATCTCGTATATAGCTCCGGACAAGTGGAAAAAGGCACAAGTAAAGCAGTGGATTGATGAAGTTTGTGAAGAATATGAGATTGAAGAAGAGGATGTTTCTATGTTAAAAACAGTCTCAGGCAGAGGACTCGCAAAATTAACACGACAGGACTTTAAGGAAAGGTGCCCTAAACAAGGCGATCTAATCTTCACCTTGTGGAAAGAGTTACTTAAGAAATCGACAGAGGAACTTGGAAGCGACAGCGCGAAAAGCTCGCCTAACTCACCAAGGAAAGGTAAACAGTATACTAATTGCTACAAGAGAGAATTCTCTCTTGTTTCTATAAACTTTTTCTACTTTATAAGGGAAACTGGCGGGAGAAATCAATCAGAAGTTTATTGATTTGGCCGGTATGTGGGTAACCATTTTACTGGTAGCTTATTATATGAATGTGAACTTGTATGCTCTTTACGCACAATCCTTCATAATCAGTTGTTTGAGAGAATTTTCCAGTTTTAACATACTACGTTACGACTCAAAAGGGAAAAAATTTACTCGTCTAGTGGATTCGATCCAGTAGATCAACTCTTGTAAACCTGATTTTTAGGATTCATGATGCTGCGTTTGTTTGGGCACAGATCAGAAAAAAATATCTGTGGCAAGCGGTTTAGCTGTGAAAATACACTGATGTATGAGGCCCATCATGTTCAAGCGTCGGTATGCGCCAATACTTTGCTACTATAGTGCTGCATCGTCTAGATGAAAGTGTCTGCGACGCAGGCTAAAGTCAGATTCGTTAAGACGAATTAACTATGAAAAATCAGAAAGTGGATTATTTAGACGTGTTAGACCCAGTTCAGTGGGGACAATGTGACTAGGAAGTCGATCGTTACGTGGCAGTCCTCTTTGCTAGATGCAAACCAAAGCAAACTCTCCGTACTCAAAGGACACTAAAAGAAACTCACGGATCATTAATTTTAAGATCTAGAAAAAATTGGATTCAGATTTGATCTGACGAAGCGATTCGTAGTTTTGTTTTTTTTCGGTCGAGTTGTAATCTGTTTTCAGGTGAGAAAAAAAACAAAATCTGTTTTTAAATTTAAGTCTGGATTGTTATTTTCTTGAAGAAACGCACCTTAAGAAAGCAGCAAAGGAACGCCTTGTATACGTACATAACACGTACGGAGCCAAAAATATCAAAGAAATATTGTTCAAGACTTCAGAAGTAGTTCATAAAAAACATGTATGTTACTAACAAAGCCGTGCTACGTACGTAGAAAAGTTGAAACCGTGGACATCAACATGACACCGATAGATAACTCCTTGTATACTAGCAGCATTTTCGTTAGCGTTTGTCGCTGTTATAACAGCGAGACTGAACCATTAACTGGGAACAAAATCTGTGTAAATAAACAATAAACAGTTTATATGGATTCTACCACTGCGTCATACTGAGTCATCAAACTTATATGAATTTTTTTGCAAGGAGATGTGGAACACGAGACAAACCAAGCTACCGACGTTTCACCCATTAGTGTGGGACCCTCGCCGATAAATTCTCCGAGGAACATGTCTCCAAATGACGACAAACCTGTTGCAGTGCCGATTCTAGACAGTTCTCAAATGAGGTAGAGACTTGTGCTTAGTTACACTGAGTTGAGCGGCAGCTGGTATAATACGCCGAAGTACGATGTAACTTTGTGTAGAGCGCGTCGTTGGTGTAGTTATGTAGAGTTTCTTTTGGAAAGTGAAGAGCTGCTAGTAAAGCCGGCGCATGACGACGAAGAGTGGGGTACTACACTGCCGTCGTTCGTTGATAAAACGCGTGACAGCCAAGTACCCGTGACGCTTTGCCATACGTGACGGGTACACGATTGTTTTACGCGAGAACGGAAATGGCCTTCTTTAAAAGTACCATAATACTCTTTGTTTTATTTTCCCTCCAAATTTTGTACAAGTATTGTTTTCAATTTCTCTTTCTTGCTGTTACAATTGTCCCAAGAGAAATTGAACACAATACTTATGCAAAATTCTTAGAGGGAAAACAAAGAGTATTATGGTATTTTTGAAAAAGGGTTACACAAAGGACAATTTTATTATTTCTAGATAAAAGTTGTGCCCAGATAAGAACTTCTTTGCTTTTAAAACTGTTTACGCAGACAAGAATCGCCTTTAATCTTCGCATCTCATGTGTAAACGTTTGCCAAGGGCCATGGCCTTTTCCGGGTGTGAAGTAAACAACACGACTTTCACACTTTTTCCACAGTTTTAAGTTTTTCAGCATCCTTCTTTATGGTCACTGTATAGAAAGTCGATTGATTTTTAGGGCATTAACTATGCATTGCGAAAGAGAAAATGGAAATGTATACGAAAATCAAGAGCCTCGATTCATTTAGGGCCACGAAATTGAGACAAATCTGGCAGTTTTTATATTAAATAATAATTGCCCCCGCGGGGATTTCGATGGCGTACATTTGCGGACAAAAATAATTAAAAGACAAAAATAAAAGACAATTTAAAATTCAAAAATTAGACTATCCATGTCGAAATCTCGTCATATGAATTTGAAATCGCAATGAACGCAGTGGAAATAGTATCATTCGAACTTGAAGTTACTTTGAACAAGTTGAAACTATAAAGGGGAAACTCGACATCGCGATGTTGAAGTTCAAATCACCATTCCAACTAAAATGCAAATTACATGATTTGAACTTCAATTCACCTTCTCCACTCTAATAAGCCACTTAATCGTCAACAATGCAACCATCATCTTGCACAAAATTCCAAATGAAACCTTTAATTTGAACTTAAAGTTACGTCACACATTCGAATTCGAAAAACCAAAATTTCAATTCGAAAGGAAGCGGAAGTAAAAATGCATAGGAACCGAGTAACTACTAGGTACTGTGGAGCAGTTGTTGTGAAAGTTATGGACCAAAAGACACTCGTTAAGCGCAGATGAAGTTATAAAGTTCGTATAACAGTGTATATTTTAACACCAAGTGAGTTTTGCCAGACACGAGTTCACAAATCTTTGATTGGAAACCTTGCCGGATACTCTCTTTGACCGGAATAAGACTCGGATCCAAACAAGCAAGACGAGTGAATGATTCAACGGCTAGCTTATCACTAGCAGAACGATGGACGATTACAGAAATTCGCCGATCGTCAAATTCTGTGCTGACTTTTTTCCTGCCGGCACAGATGTCCTTCCGCTATAAAGTTTAAAATAAGACTAGAATGCGCGAGCATGATTTGATCAAACGACTCCTTTTAATTTCTAAGGCTTTAATACTTTCCGGCAAATAAAATGAACTAAATGTAAAAAGTGAAATAGAAATAGCGAAAAATTAAACTTCTAATTTCTTTTCTTATTGTTTAGAACAAACTATTCTCGAAACTGATCAAAGCTGTATAAATCGAACCGAAACTGTGCATGCCAAAACCTTGCGTTTCCTGAATTTATCTCACCTATAATTGTATGGAATATGTGTGAACATCCTCATTATGAAATCGGTATGTTTCAAAGAGCTACACAACGAGCAAGAATACTATTGCCCGACAATATACAGAGTGGCGGCAGCTGTAGTGTCAACTATTACTAGACCAGCCAAGAAATCTCAAATGTGAATGGCTTTCCGGCACAGGCAACCCAGGTTTGCCACTTACGCAGCCGGAAAGCCCCAGCCTCCCACACTGTTGTCTATTACCTAATTCTAATAAGGCCTTTGTTATATGTATTTACTTTAGTTATAAGGCGCGGTCGCTATGGACAAAAAAGTCTGACTAAGTTGATAAGTCATGACTTGAGATCGAAAAATTGATTGAGCAATTTTATCGGTTTACAAAAATAAGTAATTGTCAATGAGAAAGAAAGCATTGCTGTGAGTAGCTTCTATGACTTGGAAGTGAGAACGATTGGATATGGTGAAACTTATTTTGCGTACACTCAACTGATAGTCAGTATAAATGCTCTTAACCAGTTTGTGTCTTTTGCTTCTTTTGTTTACAGTGACATGGCTCTCAAAGGCCCATTTGGAGCTGTTGAAAATCTCGACGAACATAAAAAATACTTTACAATTGATGAAATTTCGAATCGTTCCCCAAAGGATGGCGAGGTGGTTTCTGTAAAGGGAATTTGTTCCTCAGGAACACACAACGTCGGCAGCGCAGGAACTCTTCTGATAAGAAATGACCCTGAAGAAGGGAACCCATTTTTAGAACTCAAGGTGGACATAAGAGTTTGTCCTGGTTCTTCGAGTTTGTCTAAGCACGTACTCGCTTCAATTTTAGATGTGAAACTGGGTGAGCAGTTTTTTGTGAGAGGAAGAGTACAGAGCCCACACGAAGGTCGTAAGTCTTTGAAGAAGGGGTTTCAAATACTTCCATTCAAAATTGTCGTGGATTCTGATCATCACGCAGCATTTAGAGAGGATGTCAAAGTGAAAAATTCGTATTTACGGCAGGTATCCATTCCATTGCCAACCGAATGTGGCATTTTTCCTGCAGAAGGGTCTACGCAAGAGCCAATTTTTTTAAAGGATTCTTTGGAGGGCACGTATGGAATTTTGTTTTGTTACCCGAATGAACAGCCAGAGAAAATAAAAGAGAGTGCTGTTGCGTTAAAAAATAGCTCGAGTGGGGATATTTTTGTCGGCGTTGACAGTAGTGGCACTGCCATAGGCTCACCAATGTCTCGAGATGAAATAATTCGGAAAAGGGATGACCTGATAAGAAATGTGAGTGGAATATTCCCAAATGTCAATGAAGGTGTTTCCATTTGTACAAGTGCGGCCCAGGCACACGAGCTTGTCGAGAAAAAGAAAGACTTCGTTGCTGCCATGTACCTGCCGCCTAAAGCTCAAGAAGCCGTGGAGATTCTGGGAGAAACAGAAAAAATTCCGATTATATATCGCATTCACGTGGAAAAAGGGACGTCAGTTGTAAGTTTCGCCAAACCAGAACATACTCGCGCCTACACACGCGTGGGCACGGAAACGAAACAGATGGCAGACTATGAAGACCTATTCAATCGCCTCGAATCGCTTGCAAACCGAAATATCCCAAAGAGAACAGCGACGCATATCAACCAGGAAGTGGAAAAAGCCTCAACGTACGAGGTAAGTGAAATGCATTACAGCATATTCAACAGAGTCAAGTTCGAAACAGAGAACAAAGAATTTAAAGTGATTATAGGCGATCCCAAAAAGATCATCCCAAAAGATTACATCAAGAGATACTCTGCATCGTTTCTCAACACTGACGGGGGTGACATACTATTTGGAGTCGACGAGGATCGGGCGACGGGGTTTGGCCATGTTGTAGGAGTATCAATGTCGCCGAATGACCGCAAAGAACTGTTAGATGAAAGCAGTGAGATGATCTGCAACTTATGGCCTCCGGTTGACAGTAGCCATTTCTTCATGAAATTTATCGATGTGAAATGCGACGCGTCTAAGAATTTGTTAAAATATCCAAAGACGTATGTTGATCAACAAGGAAAGTTTGTGACCTTTATGTTTGACAATAACTCAAAAGTGACTAAGTTCCTCAACTTGGTCAAAACAAAACTTGGTCATTGTGCAATTGTACGACTACAAAATCGCTTTGGTCTCTTGGTGAAAGATATCACGAAATTAAACGCGGAACACCTTCTTTCCGAGTTGGAGAATGAACGCGGAAAACCACCATATTTCAACATGGGGGTTGCATCTTTTAAAGAAGTTGAACCTGTACTGAGAGATTTGTGTATTGTTCATCTCCATCTGAAAGCATCGCCTTATCCCATTCACCTCACTAGCCCTTTCCACACATTTTGCTTAGATAAACAAGGGATTGTTACTGAAATGGAACCCGAGGAACTTCTTCAACGTTTCTCAAAAAGAGATTATCAATATGAGCCTGATAAACTCTTGAATGCTCTAAACGGATTTGAGAAAGAAAACACTTCGTACGTGTTAATTTGCTCACCGTTTTGCCTTTCTAAAAATAAAAGTGATTTGTATGGTTTAGTAGTCCCGGAATGGGCAATGGTATTTGACTTCGATCAAACCCCACACCAAGAGGGCCATCTCTTTAATATCTATAAGCCTCTTCACGATCGACATCAAGTGGACAGAAATCTGTTTCTCCAAACACCTCTTGACAAGAGGGTGGAAATAAACCCAAAAAATGGTGTGTGTTGGTGTGCAGTGAGAGGCTACGAAGACATAGACAAAACGCTTTCCAAAGAGGGACATGCATCGTGGATGACGTCTCATGGTCACAAAGTGACAGCACTCATCAGTGATCAGCTTGTTGTTCAAATAAATCCAAACCAGTTGGTTGTAGTTTGTTTGTGGGATGATGGGTACGAAGACCTGTTCCCCTCTGTTAACATACTTTTGCAGCACTTTTTCTCTTGCTGGGGACCTACAAAGGCGTTATTTGTTTGTTCCAATCATTCAACGAAATCTGCAGTGTTGTCCGCCCTCATACATCCACTCGGAAAGGCTGGATTTGGTAAGAAAATCAAAGGGGAGAACGTGTTTGTTGCACTGCCTCATGAAATGGCGCGTCATATAGGAGCACAACTCCCTCCACCTTACCGTTCAGAGGGTGAGTTCCGAGTCCCAAGAAAGTTCGATGTTAAACAGGGCGAGGCGAGAATATTTCCAGAGACGTTACCTCAGACTATCCGACAAGCTATTAAAGGCCATTTGCAGATAATGTATTACGACACTGGCAGTACTTTTAAATTAAAACCAGAAGATGAGGACAAAGTCAGAGAAAAGTTTTACTGTGGATCTGAAATTGATGAGTCCGGCCTTTCTAACGGAATCGCTATTGAGAGAGAAAAAATGAAAGACCTCAAGAGAGAAATGAAGTCTTTCCTCAACGATAAAAGGTCGCATGTTTGTCTGACCATAGTTAAGGCTGAAAGAGGAGCTGGTGCAACAACTTTATGCTTGCAACTATTGTATGAGTTCCACAAGCATTATGTTTGCGCTCGATTACTCGAATTTCATGACAGTCTTGCTGGCAATGTGGAGAAGATAAATCAACATTGTCAACTTCCCGTCATTCTCTTTGTTGACAGCGAAATGGCTTACCTCCCCGAGTTCGTTGACTTCAAAAAAGATGCAGAAAGGCGAAATTTAAACCTCAAATTGCTAATTGTTGAATCTGACCTTTTTTATGGTCAACAACAGATGTCAAACAAGAGAAAACAACCCATCCCATATATTGTTGGAACTGCAGCCTACAAGACGGTCGAGATAAGCCGCGAACTTAGTTCCGACGAAGCAGGCCAGTTAGTGGAACAATTTCTAAAGATAAATAATATTTCTAAAGAGAAAAAAGGCGAACTTAGAAAGCTCAAAGAACGAGTAGTAAAAGAGTGTTCCTTACGGAAATTTGCATTTGTGAGCCTTACGGCGTTTGGTAAGAGGTTTACTGGCCTGCCAGACTACGTGGAGTATCGTTTGGCCCAAGCAAATGAGTTGCAACTCCAAATCTTAGAGTTTCTTGCTCTAATTCACGTATATACGGATTTCCTGTTTCCCGTGAATGCCTTGAAGGGACTAGCCAAAAGAGAAGTTGTTTTACTGGAAGGAATTTTTAGCAACGAGGACGTAAGAGAGCTGTTAAGTCCTCCATCCTCAGCAGGAAAAAACGTTAGAAGAATTTCTTTCGTTGAGGTGGCAGACGAGGTACTTAAGCAGCAAGCAAAGAAGCGCGAAATGGTGGACCCTCTTTATCTGAAAGATGTTGCGCTTCGCCTGGCAAAATGTGCTCTTTCAGGCCCAAAACCCAGCAAAAGAATTGATCGCATTACCAGACGATTGTACGTCACCAGTGAATATGTAAGTGAGAAATTTTCCCCTCTCGTGAGGTGCGTGAGAGAACAAAATCCGGATGTGGCGCGTGACATGTTGCACGAGCTAAGTGACATATTTGAGAAAGGTTCGGGAGTGCGGGCTCATCTTTTGGCACACTTGGCGAAATACTACATGATCCAGTATGAGGATTTTCAGAAAGCAGTTCCTCTCATTGAAGAAGCAGTGTATGAAAACAAAGACGACGTCTTACTTCTTCATATTCACGGCGATTTAATTCGTCTTCACGTACAAAACCTGAAAGAACAAGAAGAATTTTCTTTGTCTCAAGTTATCCGTTACGCCATCGAGAGCAGCCATTGTTTTGAAACAGTAAAAGAGAAAAGGCCGCTGATGGAGCACGGTTATTCCTCTGACGCATTGATCAGAAAGGTTGTCATGCTGGCTGCTATTAAATCGGTTGGTGGTACCCGTTTCGTCGATTTTCTGAAAGGATTCTTAAATGAGAGAAGAGAAAATATAGTAGCGGCAAACTTCACACCAGAAGACAAATATGTACTCTCTTTAGTGCCAGAGTCTTTTGCTAATCTTCGAGCAGTGTCTATCAGTGAGTACAAAGCAAAATTAAAAGGTAGTTTGTTGGAAAATTTGGGCGATCTTGATGCCTTAAAAGAAATAAGCGAAGAACTGAAAGAAGTGATGAAAGGTACTAACGATGAAGCCTGGACTGATAAGGTCGTCCTCAAAACATTGTCTGTGGTTTACTCCCTGGAGTTCGAAAGAAAAGAACTAAATCCTGAAGAAGCTGACGAAAGAATAAAACACCTCGAACAACTGTTAACAGTGGCTGATTTTGACGAGGAGTCCATGAAAATTTGGATTCGATGTGTAAGGCTAGGCTCCAAAGTTCCCAGTTTAAAAGAAGTTCGGAAAAAAATGGACAGATGGCTAAAGGCGACCAGTAGAAGATCACCAAACGCTCTATTTTACAAGTAAGTAATGTCAGTAAAAAAAAGTACTTTACCTCTTACGTTTTCACTTCTTAATGACCGCCTACCTGAAAACTGATAAAACCTGTTTTAATCTTCAAAACATGTTGCCATGGAAAAGAAAACTTGCACGAAATAGAAGGAAAATGTATTTTTGTACCGATAATAATTTTAGTGTTGTTATATATGAAGCATATATTTTTTAAGATATGCATTTTATTCTTAGTATTTTACACATTTCAAATTATATAATCGATGATAAAACAACGAAATAGGTACGAAACTAACAGCGTTTAAGCACACCAATCAACTTTGCAAATAAAATTACTCATATATACTAACAGTTGCAGAAATTGAAAAAGGTTAAGAATAATTATTCTTGTTTGCCCTTATTCATAAAACAATTATCTAATTTCCACACTGGTTCCTTTTCAGTTACGTTGTGGCTATTTTGGAGGCCCTAAAAGACCCTAAAGACACAGAGAAAATGAAGAAAGCAAACGAATGTATTAAGGAGTTAGTACAGAAGAGAAAGCTGACAAGATCAAAAGGTGTTTCGCAGGATCCATCTCTGCCAGTAGAATGGCTTCATCCAAAAGACGGCCGGCACATTAACTCTTTGGAATCCTTGCTTAATCATGAGGATTTGGTGAAGGATTACTTGAAAGGGACATCACCTCGACGGCAAAAGCCTGCTGGCAAGGAAATAATCAACAAAGCGTTATTTGAAAAGAAAATAACCAAGTGGGACGGAGTGGTGGATGAAATAACATCTGACTGGAAAGGAATCATTAGCTTAAAAAATCACATTAGTGTGTCATTTGTACCCGTCAATGTTCATCCCCATATGCCGAATGAAGGAGAGAAAGTAACGTTCTGCCTTGCATTTAACTGGACTGGTCCATGTGCCTGGTATGTCGTATCGGAGCCAGGAGTTGCCAAAGCCCGGAAAGCAATCTCGCTTTCTTCACCTTTCTTACCGGTAAATCCAGAAGACGATGGTTCTGACAGTGAAGTAAGTGATAAGGGTGATGATGATGGTCTACTACCTATGGTGAGTGAATCTCTTCACAAACAAACTGTATTTAAGCGAAAGAGTGTATTGGCGGAGAACGATCAAGATTACCAGTGGATCCGATATCAGGACAAAGAAATGCAGGGAATTATTTATAAACTCTTTTCTGACAAAGGATATGGGTACATCTATCATCCTAACTTTGAAGCGACTCTCTACTTCCATGCAAGACAAATTGTTCCCCCAGTAGACAGTCTGCAATCAATAAAGCAGTATTCTGTGGTCTCGTTTACCGTAGGAATGACTTCAAAAGGAGAACGAGCGATGAACATTAAAACAGTGGTGGTATGTTCTTACTTAATTTTAAAAATTTTCAGTTAATAATATACTACGAGGCTTCTACGTTGATCAACGCCTCTGAAAGCGTAAAATGTGTCCTGCGTTCTAACGGCGGTGGCTTAAACAAGTGCGTGTTCTTGTCAGTTTTTATCCAAACAACGAGAAGGGCCCCACGTGTCCTGTTCAAAATAACAAAAGCCTCCCATTTTGATTAATTGATGCGGCCCGATGATTTTCAAGATTTTATTTCTTTGGTTTCGGAGTCGAAACTAAAAAGCACACAACCCGAGCCGAGCCTGTGAAGGGCTCAACGAGGCGGGGGGATGGGAGGGGCGGGGATGCAGGGCAACAGAAATTTAGCGAGAGGGTAATAAAGTAAGAATATAGGACAGACTCGGAAAGCCATGCAAAACTTTCTCTGCTTTCTCATTGCCTGACCTGACTCGTGAGGCTACCTGATTTCTTACTCGAGTGCCGCTTCGCTTCCCCGGGTTAATTTTTTCACGCAATAATGGAAATAGTAGTAGCCATCAAAAAAGGAAGCAATAAATAAAGTGCATTTCTAAGAATAATTTATGATCGAGTGACGATAAAATAACGAAATGACCCCAACTACAAATTTCAGCTGACGTGCTTTATTGCCAGCAATTCGTTTTAGAGTGATCTTTTGTTTGTTTTTAATAGGATGAGGAAAGTATCAGTAAACAGCTAAAAGAGTGCCGTGAAGCACTTGTTAGAGAGGAAAGCACGGACATTACAACTCATCCACCCGAAGCTACTCGACGGTACAGTATAGACTGATTAGCGTTAGAAATAAATAAATCACATCATACTCAGCCTTCAATAAATGTTAGTAAATATGAAATAGCAACCTCTTTCCGGGCAGCGGCGCGGCAGCCCTGTGGTTTATGCCAAGTGGACTCAAAAAAAGGCGAAAGAGTTCACGGCTATCCGAAGACGAAATATCGGAATTTCTGAGTAAAACTGAACGAAGTGCAACAATAAGCAATATTTGCTCGATGGATGCCATTTAGTTTTTAATGAGTATCTGCGAAAGAAAAACATGTTTCTGTCCCGAAACCGTGCCGGCAAATGTTTTGAGGAAAGTGTACGAAGAGCTAAGGTTTTTAAAAACTTAAAAATATTTTGAATGAATGTCAAAGCAATTATTGAATTCGTCTTTCGTATGATATAGAAAGAACTATGCAGGTTTCTGAGTATATTATCCACCTCGGCCTTCGGCCACGATGGATAATATCCTTCTCGATCTGCATAATTATTTCTTCACATCATAATTATAATCAGCCTCATTCAATCATGTTCAATAAGTATTGTGTCTATCGATTTGCTGTTATTGGCTTACAGGAAAGTAAGAACAGTGCAAACATTGGACGACCTTTTGGGAACTCGTCAAGAAGGTTATATTTGCGATCTAAGGTGTCCCCCAGAGCACAAATCAGTTCAAGGGTGGATCAGACTGGAGGTGATTCAAGAAGGGCTTTTTTTTCAAGAATCCTTGTCTGGTATACAAAAGAAAGAGATTGGTAACTATCGCCTGGAAGCAAAAGTTCAGTTCCGTGTGAATAAAAATGACGACGGTTTCTTTGCAGAAGATCTGTACATTACTGAGGTATGGGAAAAACCTTTTTGGATATACTTTTCAACTGATTGTTTTTCTTTACGCTTGGTGTCCATAGAAGCGCCGGAACCAAACCAGAGAAATTCCTAAGGTAAAATAGCCAAAATTATTACAACAGAACGTGATCAAAGTCATCAATGAAAATAACACTTCATTAGTCATGGTCATCACCCGAAATAAGCGGCATGCATGACCGTCGTTTAGTCCTCGATTGCATAGGTTTACAATAATTGATCGATTAACCGACCAAGCGACCACTTGCGCGTTTTCGTCCTAGGTTACTATACATTGCAGTATGATTCAGAATGGATTGGATTTAAAGGAACAGAGTATTAAGTAATTGTTACGCCTGTTCAGTAGCAACTGTTGATCAGAAAGATACCAAAAATACGTGCAATGTAACAAAAGTGTTAACTCTATTTCAGTCTCAATGTTTATTGTCCGCTTACATGTCCGAGATTTTCAAGGTCCCCACTTTAACATGAACGCGCTGGGTCAGCTGTCGGCATTTTTTAGTCACGCCAGTGTCGCCAAAAATGGCGGCCTGGCCGTTGTTATTTTTGGTGAACCTGAGAACTAGTTTACGGCAGTATAAATAGCGCTCGATTTGCAACCCGGGAAAGCGCGGGCTCTAACGTGAAAGCGTGAAAAACAAAGTTTATTTTGATACCAAAATCGATGGGAAAAGATTGATATGTAATTTTTCCTTCGTCTTCGCTTTTACCCCATAATGGCGCAAAAGGCAACCGGCCTGAAAATGACAAACTTCGGCTTCAAAAGGCTTTTTTGCTCTTAATAATTTTAAAAGGATAAACCAGTGAGCAGCACTTCTGCTAACTTCTTGAGTTGTAAAATCTTTTATTTTCTCCTAAGCGTTTCGTGTGACTAGCGTACACTTCATCAAGGAATTTTACAATAAAACTAAGCGTACCTGTATATTTACCTTAAAACACAAAACACCAACGGATTTTAAAGGAACTACAAACCTCGTGGTTATACCTCTAGGAAGTAGGCGGAAAAATATTTGCCAAGGTGTGACATGTTTGTAATGTTTTGGGGCCCACAGTTAGCTAGAGGTCCAGTTTTCAAGTGAGATGTGTGCATGTGTTTCCCTTTGAACAGGTGTTTTTGCAAATATACATCGCATAGCGAGATCCTAACGCCATTGAAAATTTGGTTTTTGTTTTCGAAAAAGTCCGCCATATGCTCCTTTTCATTGGTGCTACAGCAGTTCAAGGTGCGCTGCAGCAAAACAGGAAAAATATCAACTGCTAAGTTGCTCGTGTTCGGAGGTCCAAAAATTTGATTCAAATGGTCAGATGCTGTAGATTATTTTAACTAAAAAAACAAGAACGCTCTTAGTCGCGTGGAGTCTCGCTTGCTTGGAGATGAGTTTAGTTGTCAAAGGCCCCGGTGCTGTTATACTACTTTTTCGTTTGGAATACAAAACGAGTGTTGTATGTCATAATGTATATACCATAAATGCTCGAATTAGCGCCCAGCTTCAAATAAGCGCCCCGCTTCGAATTAGCGCCCCTCCTACG